CTTCTTCAGAGGTAACCTTGTAATGGCCGAGAACATTCTGGGAGAACTGTAGGAGTCACAAAGGCAGAAGAGGGGAAAGGAGGAACCTGTGCCATACACAATCCAGGGATAAAGAGGACCAACAACAGTAACAAAAGATCTTATTTAAGAGCATGAAGTTGTACATTAAAGGAGAAGAAATACAAGTATGGAGGAAGGAGTATTACTGATAGCAATAGGGACAATCATTTAAATGTATGTCAGGAAATACCTGGCAGCTTAATACAGTATTATAAGTTTGATATCAGATAAGCCATGTTACTCCATTTTGCAGAATAAAGTGTGTGGGGGTATGTAAAATAGTTACTTGCTAAAAGTCACATAGATAGTAAGTTTTAGAGCTAAGTCTTAGTGGATTCTCCAGCTTATGCATTTTCCACTATACCACACTGACTACAGGCCATCTTCCACCTGGATTACTGCAAAAGCCTTCCTAAGTGGTATATCTCTCACCCTTTCCATCCCCCATTTAATATGTAGCTCAAGAAATATTCTGAAATGCAAATTTCACATTAGCACATACCCTCGCATATCATAGGTGCTAAACACATATGTTTTGAAATGAATGAATATATATGATAGGGCAAGGACTGTCACTGGTTACTAAGTGGAACTATATCAGATGCCAAACCCATAACTGGTCCCAAAGCCCCTATTCTTGGTACCTACAATTTACATCCAGTCCATTGCTATAGATTCTCTTCTTCGACATTCCAAAAAATTCACCAACATTTTATTGAACATATGTTCTATGTGCTTCCTGTGCTCAGAGCTATAAAGAATTCCATGAATAAGATTCAGTTCTTGCCCTAAAAAAGCTTATAGTCTAGTGGAGGAGCCTTCATTTTGCCAACATATTGAAACTCACATTCTCTTTAATTCCTTTCAGGACTAAGCTGACAAGCAATTCCAGACAGGTTAAGTATTTGGTAATTGCCAATTGACTATCACTTATACCTATAGGACTAGACTGGGTCTTGAGAGCTGAAGTCAAATTTTATTCTTCATTATCATCCTACTGGTTAACATAGTACCTGGTATATAATAACAGGTTTAAAATGAATTAAAGAATAAATGAATGAATGAACAAGCAAACAAGTCAAGTTTTGTAATAAAGCTTTGGAATATGAGTCAGAATCTCAGCAGGAATTCTCCGTCACTATACAGATAAATGACTTGGTGATAAGTGCCCTAAGGAAGAACCAGCCCCGTAGACACATATTTGCCAGGCTGCAAAGTTAGTGGAGCATGGGGACAGGAAAAAAGAGAGGCAGGGTAGGATTTTAGATGGTTTTTCCAGTGTTGGTCCAGGTTCTTTCATGCGTCCTCAGGTTTAGAGAGGAGTCGCTGTGAGGCAGTCCACCCACATGGAATGTTGAGATGGCTTGGCCTGGCCTCCTACAGCCCTAAACCTGCTCAATGAAGCAGACCATAGAGGGAAGTCAATAGATAAATAGGTAGATGGATCATAGTACTCACCACACATTTTCACAACCTGGTAAGAAAACCCTCTGATGACATATTATTTAAAGTGTATTTTTTGAGGAACCAAGATGGCGGCATAGGTAAACACCTGAACTTGCTGCCTCGCACAACCACATCAAAACTACAACTAAAAGACAAAACGGATATCATCCAGAACCACGAAAAAGCTGACTGAGTGGAAGTCTGACAACTAGAGGGAAAGAGAAAAGCGCATCTAGACTGGTAGGAGGTACAGAGGTGCGGAAGAGTGAAGGTACAGAGGCGCGCGAAATGGGCTGGCAACTGGGTATGCTGTGGTCTTTTTCAATCGAGAGGGAGATACAGACTCCCGACTGCTCTGAATTCCAGTTCCGGGCGAGACTCTGGGGACCCAGACTCATACGGGGAGAAAATGGACTGTCTGGCATCGGGCTGGAACAGGAGGGCAGCTTTCTCTCAGAGGTGCTCGCAGCATTCATTGTTCCTTCACGGGGCCGCAGAACACAGAGACCCAGGGACCTATGGGGCAGGGCCAACAGGCAACCATTGCTGTTTACACTGCCCTGTGATTCCCTGAGACCCGCCCCACCCAATTTACAACCCCACCCAAGCTGTGTGCAGAGGCTTTTGCATACGAATGGCCTGGCCTTTTGCAATCTAAAACCTAACAAATTGCAGCTGGGTCAAAGAACCCCAGAGCTTCCAAAAGAAGGCCTAGGGCTTGTCAGCATCCTGCATTGCTTCACAGCTGTGCCTCATCTGGGCACCTCCAAACACCAAACAAAGAGGAGGAATCTGCATCTCTCTCTGTAGCTCCTGCTGGGTGGCCTCAGGCAGTGGCTGACTTTGAACCTCCTTGGAGATCCAAGAGCCAGTGTACCCAGTGGTCAGAGGGAGACCACACCAGATTACAACCCTTCACATCCATAAGAGACACACTCAGGGGGCAGACTCAGTGAGCACCAAAGCCCCACTGAAGCAAGTCCTGCCCCATAAGGGTGTTTCCAGCACAGCAGTTCTCCCATTGTAGACACAACTGGTCCTCACAGCCAATTGGTCTGGAGGTCAATTCCTCCCA